TATGAATGAACTATAGGCTATATGGAGATTTATGAAGGCAAATATATTTAACTATCATGCAGTGATTCAGATACTGCAAAAATATCTTAAGCAATTTATCTATTTTTGTGCAGATAATTTGAGTCACGTCACTCTTTAAATAGTTTAAATAGAAATGATTTTGTTTCTTTTTTTCATGATTTTTAGTCCACATGTTGCTGTCCTAGTGCCCCCGTCTGGTAAGAAACTACATCTAAACTCAGTTTCCTTCCTCACAATGAGAAACTATTGGTTTCACCATATTGTGAAGTTTAGAGTGGTTATGGAGTTTTATTTTTTTCAGCTATGGTTTGTCATTCATTCCAGATACTTTCTTTGCATATTCACCTGAAATATGCATGATGCAGGCCTTATATACATGCATGCATGCAAAAAAGTCAAGTTAAAGACATGAAATAGTTTGTCCGAGCAAGTTACTTTTAATAATAGAATAAAGGTAAGTGCTACACAGAAAGTATTCACTCCCGTCAGTAAAAGACAACAGATGTCTAGATAGGTTAAAGATTCACTCAATTTAAATGTTTAAACGCTGTGTTCAGACCCTTAACGAGTAGCATAGAATCCTTGTTTAACACACTGAATCAATTGAATCAACGCCCATATGCCAGATTCATTTACTTACATTATTCCTTCCAAAAGCAAAGTGTGGTGCATTAAGCGTCTGCTGAAGGCTGCATGTACGTGCGTGAAGTTAAGCTGCAAAACATGTGCTTTACACTTCCTTTAATGCACACACACATGGCCACGAGTCCATAAATCTGTGATTTGTGTCAATAAGGGTGATGTGCCAGATTTACAGACTGCTTTATTCTATTCACTTGTTCACGTCAGGAGTGAGGAATGTCCAGAGAGCTTCCACCTGTGGAACGCTGTGGAGAATGAGCGTGATAGGGAGAGCAATATTCTACATGTGTCTGAGCTGTCTAACAGCTTCTCAAAGGTCAGACTTTCATGTGAAAAACTCTTACCCACGGAGTGACCCTCAAACAGCCATGTTGCACACTTAAGCACGATCAGGCTATACGGCAGCAGAAGCGTTTCTGTCTTACACACTCAAATGTATGTCTTTATTAAGGAAGAGTGTCATTTTCTTTGTAATTCTCAGGGAACTGGACTGCAGACAGGATGCTTGTGCGCTTTGAGAGGCTGAGAAAAATAACAGCTGCCCTTAGGCTGAACATTTTCAGAAAAACATACACAGTCATAATGTGTTTAAAAACCGAGCACATGACATTACAAATAAGACAAATTGAACAAGAAAATAAATTGTGACTTATCTTTTAATCATAACTTGGCTGTTCTGAAAAAAGCTGAAATAAGTTAAAAGGTTAGTCATCAAATTGAATTGACCCACGGTTTCATTGAACTACACATAGCAATGAAATATGCACTATAAATGTCAAAACAAAGGATCTTATTTGTAAAATGATACAAGTTTTGTGAGTTAAGGCCGGACAGTTGACATTAAACTGACCTTTCCATTTTATGTATTGCACCCAATGGAAAGCGAGTGGCCAGATTATGGAAAATCTTGGCATGGATGGTATAGACCAGCACTTCTGGCAGGGAAGGGAAAGGGCTAGCCAAAGACCTGTCTGAGGAAAAAATCCATTAGCATACCATGAGACATGAGACTGCTTTTAAATGGAACACTTGAACATTAAAAGAAATCCAAACTTTTCAGCAATTACGTAAATCTCTCAGCCTATCCGTTTGCCGTTAGGGGGAAGGAGGAAGGTTTGCCATACTGTATATAGATTTTCCCTCACTCCATATATTCCCTTTCTTTGTCAGTTTGTATGCATTTTAAATTGTCGTTCTGCTCTGTAGCTTTGCAACCGAGAAGACCAGGGAAGGATTTCTCATCTTCCTGGCTGGAAATTTCCTCCCTTTAGCTAACACAGATCTGAGAAAAACAGTCAAACATTTAATTCCACAGCAAAATTTACTTTATGGCTCATAGATTTCCACTTTTGTCCCGTTTGTATCCCAGCCAACGGCTGTTAACCCACATTATGGATCTTAATTCTTTCCCACAAGCAAACGGAGCACGAATGGGAAGTTGCTTATTTCTCTCAGGCATCAGTTTGCATTTTTTGTCTGGCACCTCTGTGAACTGCTGCTGGGTGATAATTGGAAAAACAGCCTCCCTCTGTAGCATCCTGCTGTCTGCACAGTGGCCACTTCAACCAGAGGCCCAAGCTTCCTGTGTGCGAGTCTCCAGAGCCAACTCTGCGTGTGCCCATGAGGCAACAAGACCTCAGCTGCTGCTGCCACACAGAACTGCTAATTACATGCACATTGTCCTAGCTCATACGAACAGGGGCGGGCAGGAGGCGGAGAGGGGAGAGTATCGGAAGGTGGAGAGTTTTGACAGGGGCCTGCCAGGAACAACAGCCTGGGGTCCCTCGGACACACATGCTGTCAGGGCCTGGGCCCTGTGAGTTCCAGACAGCCAGAAATGCTCGGCTCAAGTTGTGTGTTAATTCACAGAACGGTAAAAGAGCTTTAGCAGTGTATACACTCTTTTTGATTCTTGTCTTTCAGTTTTAGCAAATAAACACATGGGGAAAAACTATGGCCAGATGTTGCCACAGTCTTGTAGAATGATTTGTTTGTAATTCTACAACCTCACATTCCATGCTAAAGCCCTGCAGACATCATTGCTTATGCCAAACCTGAGGTGTTTTTTTAAAC